AAACTGCAGACTCGCAACCCACATCCAGAACGGTGGCCAGCCAGCCACCGCCCCAGGACCACGCGACGATGATGGGGTAGATGAAGCTGGCCATGCAGAAGGCATACACGGCGTACGTAGGACTCTTCACACGCTCAGCCACGCCACCGCTCACGATCGTGGCTCCGGCCGTGCAAAATGCCCACTGAAAGAACCAGCTCAACATCTTGCTCTGGCAGCCGTCAGCATCACATGATGCAAGGGGCGTGATGACACCGGTGGTCTCATCGATGGTGTAGAAGCCGATGCCGAAGAACTCGCTCGTTCCGATGAAGCCGTTCGCTGGATCTCCCTGGCTGCCGTAAGCGAAGGCCCAGCCAAAGACCCACCAGCCCAGCGTGCCAACCGTCACGTTCACCAAGTTCTTCATGAGGACGTTGGACGCGTTCTTTGCACGGCAGCTGCCCGTCTCCAGCATCGCGAAGCCCGCATGCATAAACATGACAAGGGCACCACACAGGCAGAGCCAAGCAGAGTCCATGGCACCACCCAAGCTGTAGTCCGCGTTCTTCAGCGCCTGCACCTGCGATACACGATTGGCGATGATGAACACATTGAAGCACCCTGTACTGTAAAGATCCAGCACAGCAACAACCACAGCAACTGCCCACCTCACTCTCAAATGTCGATGCAGAGAGGTAAGTCGCGGTCTGAAGCCCACGAGGGTGCACTAAAGACTCGAAGCGTTCCTGCTGCTCCTTGTCAAGGTCCGCTGGCTATGCAACTGAAGATTGCACAAGGATGCAAAAGCAACTCCGAGATGTTTTGCAAGGGTCCTTGATCAGCTGCCTCTGTGCCAACATCTCGGAGCGAAGGGAGTCCATCTCCTCGTGTAGGACATCAGTGCCCGAAGCACTCGCCAGGCCGACCTGAGCCATTTCGGATGACACCATTTGGATTGGAAGGCTCACGCCAAGGCCGTCAAGGTGCAGTGACGAGAAGGCAGGCTTTCATCTCCTGGACTCAAGCAACGGTGCTTTCATGTGCTTTCAGGCAGTCGGCTTCATTGAGACAGCCGCTGTGCCTCCGAAGCCAGTCAAAGGCACCTCTGCAAGGTGGATGCGCAAAGGTATGCACGTGCAAACAAGATTACGACTATTACGAGCATTGTTGCGCTGTGAAAGGCCTGGCCTCTCTGCCTGGCCAGATGAGCTGCGTTGAGCCCCCGTGCTGCAGAATCAGCAAACTGAATGGAAGGCCCAGGAACTTGCACCGCACTTGCTCTACTTGCAGCATTACTTGCACCTCGACTGATGAACACGAACCATTGTCCCATTGTCTCGGTGCTTTACCAATGGTGTGCTTTGGTTTAACTGGAAGCTCAAGGCGCCAGAAAGGCTTTGCCAGGCTGACAGCCATCGAAACAAGAAGTTTTCAACGAAAGTAACAACTGCTCTGCAGAAGCTGTATATTGTTTATGACTGAAGTCTTGGAACATCTTGGAACGAAGGAGAGAAACAGTTCAAACCTGATGGTACTGCATCAGCTTCTGCACAAGCACTGGTCGTAATTACATGTACAGACAGAAGGGCATGGAGTGTCATTGCTACAGGCTACGGGTGTTCCGATGAAGCTCACTGCAGATTGCCTTGTGTAGCTGTACAGTCCACCGACCAATTGGCAACTCCCACACCATGTTTCGTGCAAGATGCCAAGGCCAAAGGAAAAGATGGCTCACGCCGACTTCTGCGGCAGCTCCACTGCCACTGAGCCGGCGTCGTGCAAATAAAGCTCCTGTTAATCCCCAAGTGCCACTACAACATACCGTAAGTCAGCAACTGCCCACCACATATTCGAGAGCCACTCACTGCGAAAGCGAGTAGGCCTTGGGCGGGGAGTGGCTCTTGGTGTCGATGCCCACCTCCTCCACCTCCTCGGAGATGCGCAGGAGGCCTGTCATCTTCAGGGCGAAGAAGGCCAGGCCGGAGAGCGCACCGGACCAGATGATGACCATGGCGATGAGGGCGAACTGCGCACCGATGGCATCACCGAAGAGGCCAGTCTTGCAGGCGGCACCGTCCATCACACAGCCAAATCCTGGGAACAAGAGACTCCCACCTACAAGAGTCCTGGACGGTCCCTATACAACAGGCCTGCACTCCTACAACTGCCTGCGCTTTATGGCGCGAGCCGGAACTCTCCACACTCTGTCCTGACCAGCCGTGGTAGTGGTCAACGCCCTTGCCCCAATCCAAGAAGCCTGCCGCGAGCACTCCCCAGATGCCACAGAAGCCGTGCACTGGGGCGGCGTCCACGGGATCGTCAATTTTCAGCTTCTGCAGCAGCATGGACGAGGCTTGGTACACAAAGGCACCAACCAGGCCGATAGCAAAGGCGCTGCCGCACTCCACGTTGCCGCATCCGGCAGTGATGGACACCAAACCTGCCAGGATACCATTGCACAGGCCACCCACATCATACTTCTTCAAGATGAGATAGCGCAGCAGGAAGACCGTGATGCCGCCGGTGGCCGCGGACAGGGTTGTGTTCATGGCCACTTGCGCAGCCAAAGCACCCGTAGCTCCGTCGTGCATTCCGAGCGTGGAGCCCGGGTTGAAGCCGTACCAGCCGAACCACAGCGCAAAGGTACCCAAGACGACGAGGGGCAAGTTGTGGCACTCGAACTCCTCCGGATTCTCGAAGCGGCCCTTGCGTGGGCCGAGCACGATGGTGCCTGCCAAGGCGCTCACACCACCTGTCAAGTGCACCACACCACTGCCGGCAAAGTCCATGTAGCCAACGGAAGTGATGGTGGCCAAGAAGCCACCGCCCCAGGACCACGCGACGATGATGGGGTAGATGAAGCTGGCCATGAAGAAGGCATACACCGCATACGTAGGGCTCTTCACACGCTCAGCCACGCCACCGCTCACGATCGTGGCTCCGGCCGTGCAAAATGCCCACTGAAAGAACCAGCTCAACATCTTGCTCTGGCATCCGCTGGAATCGCAAGTTGAAGGCGTGATGACACCGGTGGTGGCATCCGTGGTGTAGAAGCCGATGCCGAAGAACTCGCTCGTTCCGATGAATCCATTCTTGGGAGTTCCCTGGTCGCCATAGGCAAAGGCCCAGCCAAAGACCCACCAGCCCAGCGTGCCCACGCAGACGTTCCTGGGTTAATCTTACTTCAAACTTCAGCACCTAAGCTGAGGTGATCCAAGAAGCGAAGCTTAGAGAAAGCCATGCGAAAGCCGTGCCTAGGTTCACCAAGTTCTTCATCAAGACGTTGGAGGCGTTCTTCACGCGGCAGCTGCCCGTCTCCAGCATCGCGAAGCCCGCATGCATAAACATGACAAGGGCACCGCACAGGCAGAGCCAAGCAGAGTCCATGGCACCACCCAAGTTGTAGTCATAGCTCTCAAGGGCGGCCACCTGTCACAAGTCCGTATAATGTCCATGACCAAAGCTTCATGGCTCTTGATGGCTCCGGCGACCCGCCTTCGTGTTGAACTCGGTCTGCGTCACCCACCCGCTGATCTGCAGCTGCCGCGCATCCCGCAGTGCAAGGATCTCTGCACGCTGCTCCTGTCAAGCCGGCCTTTCATCATGTATTACTAGTGGCTTCGCCTCTAATTTGGCAGGTCCTCCAAGGATGCTTGGCGCTCTCGGACTTCAGCTCGAAGGGCCTCCACCTCTGCAAAGAGTGCGGCATCGCCAGCGACCGCGACCTGAACCCCAACGAAGAACCCCCACTCAGCTTCTCGGGAAGGTCAGCCAAAGCAGCGAACAAAGCATTAGGCTGGGACAACAAGCGTCGCAATGATTAGCAAGAACTTCATGCTCCTGCTGAAAAGCATCACACAAAAGAGGAATACACGGATCTCACAACTTCTGCCGAGCTGAAAACTTGCTTTCTCAGACGCAGACGCCTTGCAAGGTGGGGCCGTGCAAAAACTCCAGTTGTAGCGGTTCTTTGGGCCAAGAGCGGCTTCAACATTGATGAGCAGCTTTCAAAATACTAAGAATAACAATAACAAGATAATAAAAAAAAAACAAACAAAGCTAACAACAGTAGTTGTAATCGTCGTAGTAGTAGTAGTAGCAGTAGTAGTACTAGTAGTAGTAGTAGTAGTAGTAGTAGTAGTAGTAGTAGTAGTAGTAGTAGTAGTAGTAGTAGTAGTAGTAGTAGTAGTAGTAGTAATAGTAGAAGTAGAAGTAGAAGTAGTAGTAGTAGTAGTTGTTGTAGTAGTAGTAGTAGTAGTAGTAGTAGTAGTAGTAGTAGTAGTAGTAGTGGTAGTGGTAGTGGTGGTAGTAGTAGTAGTAGTAGTAGTAGTAGTAGTAGTAGAACTAGAAGCAGTAGTAGATGTTAATTTGCTGCGACCTATGCAACTTGTTTTCGGGCCCTGTGTCTTGTCTTTGCCGGGTCACTCATCCCGGCACCACAACAACCCCAAAGAGCACTTCCCGCACCACGATGCTGTCTTGAAAACCCCGCGTGTTTGAGGCGCAGTTGTTCAAGTGCTTATTAGCTTGCAGGGAAGACTTCAAGGAAGTTTGTTGCTGGTTCTCGAAGGGGGGCTCTATCGATTTGCGCAGCATGTCCTGGCTTTGCGCTGTTGAAGCATTGTTTTGTGCTGTTCGATGGCTCCTGGAAAGTCTCATTGAAGGCGTTGGCTAGTATTCAAGTCGTGCTCAGCTGCTTCGAATGCCAGTTAAGCAACATTGCATGCATGGAAGACAGGAAGGCAAGAATTGAGCTCCGCATCCATTGGCATAAGTGCAGGAGACATGAACATGCTGACGGGTCTTTTGCATGCTCAAAACAGGTTTGCGGCGCATGCTGAATGCAGGCCGTCGTCCGCCCTCACTGACTCGGCCAGAAGGGCTGTGACGAAACTCTGGCATCGGCTTAACTCGGCAGTCTGACATCACACACAGAACATCGAGCTGAAAACTAGTGAACAGTTTCATTTAGATCTTGGCTGTCTGTGTGCACGATGCATGAGCTGGGTCTATTTCCCGGCTCCAGACTCAAGGCCTGACATGTGGAATGAAAGTCTCCAAAACCAAACAGGTACATATTGTATCGCTGCAAAAGTCCATGTCATTATCTATGCCATGTATGCCATTCTTGTCAGAGTCAAGGAGTCAAGCCAAATGAGCAGTCCTCAGCCAACAAGTAGCTCGATGAGCAACTGTGAGCCCTGCCGGTAGCTCCACTACCGACTAATGGACGATTCTCCGAGGGCCGGATGCACTATAATACACAACCCTGTGCAAGCCCGGGCAACTGGCTGGTGGATAGATCTTCTTCCATGCAGCCAGTGCCGTAATGATGAGATGAACGATGCTTGCTCCATCAGGCTTCCCATGCTCCCTTTGTCGGCACAACACTCACAGTGTTGCCTCCTGGTCCTGCCCCGCCCAGGGAGTAGGCCTTGGGCGGGGAGTGGCTCTGGGTGTCGATGCCCACCTCCTCCACCTCCTCGGAGATGCGCAGGAGGCCTGTCATCTTCAGGGCGAAGAAGGCCAGGCCGGAGAGCGCACCGGACCAGACGATGACCATGGCGATGAGGGCGAACTGCGCACCGATGGCATCACCGAAGAGGCCAGTCTTGCAGGCGGCACCGTCCATCACACAGCCAAATCCTGGGAACAAGAGACTGCCACCTACAAGAGTCCTGGACGGTCCCTATACAACAGGCCTGCACTCCTACAACTGCCTGCGCTTTATGGCACGAGCCGGAACTCTCCACACTCTGTCCTGACCAGCCGTGGTAGTGGTCAACGCCCTTGCCCCAATCCAAGAAGCCTGCCGCGAGCACTCCCCAGATGCCACAGAAGCCGTGCACTGGGGCGGCGTCCACAGGATCGTCAATTTTCAGCTTCTGCAGCAGCATGGAGGAGGCTTGGTACACAAAGGCACCAACCAGGCCGATAGCAAAGGCGCTGCCGCACTCCACGTTGCCGCATCCGGCAGTGATGGACACCAAACCTGCCAGGATACCATTGCACAGGCCACCCACATCATACTTCTTCAAGATGAGATAGCGCAGCAGGAAGACCGTGATGCCGCCGGTGGCCGCGGACAGGGTTGTGTTCATGGCCACTTGCGCAGCCAAAGCACCCGTAGCTCCGTCGTGCATTCCGAGCGTGGAGCCCGGGTTGAAGCCGTACCAGCCGAACCACAGCGCAAAGGTACCCAAGACGACGAGGGGCAAGTTGTGGCACTCGAACTCCTCCGGATTCTCGAAGCGGCCCTTGCGTGGGCCGAGCACGATGGTGCCTGCCAAGGCGCTCACACCACCTGTCAAGTGCACCACACCACTGCCGGCAAAGTCCATGTAGCCAACGGAAGTGATGGTGGCCAAGAAGCCACCGCCCCAGGACCACGCGACGATGATGGGGTAGATGAAGCTGGCCATGAAGAAGGCATACACCGCATACGTAGGGCTCTTCACACGCTCAGCCACGCCACCGCTCACGATCGTGGCTCCGGCCGTGCAAAATGCCCACTGAAAGAACCAGCTCAACATCTTGCTCTGGCATCCGCTGGAATCGCAAGTTGAAGGCGTGATGACACCGGTGGTGGCATCCGTGGTGTAGAAGCCGATGCCGAAGAACTCGCTCGTTCCGATGAATCCATTCTTGGGAGTTCCCTGGTCGCCATAGGCAAAGGCCCAGCCAAAGACCCACCAGCCCAGCGTGCCCACGCAGACGTTCCTGGGTTAATCTTACTTCAAACTTCAGCACCTAAGCTGAGGTGATCCAAGAAGCGAAGCTTAGAGAAAGCCATGCGAAAGCCGTGCCTAGGTTCACCAAGTTCTTCATCAAGACGTTGGAGGCGTTCTTCACGCGGCAGCTGCCCGTCTCCAGCATCGCGAAGCCCGCATGCATAAACATGACAAGGGCACCACACAGGCAGAGCCAAGCAGAGTCCATGGCACCACCCAAGTTGTAGTCATAGCTCTCAAGGGCGGCCACCTGTCACAAGTCCGTATAATGTCCATGACCAAAGCTTCATGGCTCTTGATGGCTCTTGCGACCCGCCTTCGTGTTGAACTCGGTCTGCGTCACCCACCCGCTGATCTGCAGCTGCCGCGGAACCTCTTCCTTCAACTGCGCCAGGAGCAGCTTGTTCTCCTGCACTGGTAGTTTTTGCTCATGTCTTGCAGCATCAGGGCTAATTGTCAGCATCACAAGTGTGCAAGCGCAGGCAAGCACGCATGCATGCTCTTGTTTCGCTTGTTTAGTCGCGGTCTTGCAAGCATCCACACAGCATTCCAAGCAGGACATCCAGAAGCCAGCGGCCCCTTGGCCCTTGACCTTCTGGAGCCTGTGATTTTATGCTTGGAGCTCCTGTGAGCCCTGGATAGCCCTGGCACGCTGGGAAGGTCTTTTTCTGCGATATCAGAGTTCGATGGAAGCGGAATTCAGGTGTTTGGCCGGGGCCACGGTGGCCGGCGGCTGTGCCAGATTTCATCATCTCCGGCGTCTTTGCTCCAAAATGATCTCTGAATCATTCCAACTTGTGTTTGTCCCTTGTCCCCCTTCCTCTGTTTTGGAGAGGGCCCTGGAAAAACCTGATTTGGCAAACTGGAAAACGCAGATTCGGAAACCAAAAGTGTGGATTCGGGAAACCAGGATCCGGAAACCCGCTGAGTCAAGAAACTGGAAAACGCGGACTCGGAAACCGGGGATTCGGGAAACTGGAAATCGCAGATTCGGAAAGCTGGGATTCGGGAAACTGTAAATCGCGGATTCTGAAAACTGACAACCGCTGATTCAGGAAACTCGAAGCGCGGATTCGGAAACCGCTGAGTCGGGAAACTGGAAAGCGCAGACTCGGAAGCCGCTGACTCGGCAGACTGATATCATCCCCCCCCCCCACCCCCCGGTTTCCTCAATCGTGTGGCTTCCTGAATCGCGTGTATTCAGTTTTCCGAATCGCGTGGTTTCCTGAATCGCAGTTTCCTGAATCACATGAAGGCAGCTTCCTGAATCGGGCAGTTTCCTGAATCGCCTGGCTTTCTGAATCCTGGTTTCCTAAACCCTGGTTTCCCGAATCGCCGCCACTTTCTGCATCGCGCAGGAATCGCGTGCCAGGGTCCGCCGTGGAGCGAAACGCAAGCTGCACATCTTGAGGCGCCTCGTAAAGCTCCCGCTGCGCAAGGACCTGGGCCCGAAGGGCCTCGACTTCTTGACGAAGATCATCAGCACAGACAGCCTGGGTATTCACAGCCAAGGCGAATCTGAGGATTCTGCCACATGCTCATCTAGAAGTCATCAATCGGCTCACAGGAATCTGAGGTCCTAGCTGTAGCCCCAAAGAGGCATGCAATAATGCCGCGCCACATCATCACCTTGAAGCGAACTGATTCTGCGGGATACAACATCCATTGCTAGATTCTGCTAGATGATACATGACACACCATGAAACTGCAAGGATGTCCCAAGACAAGTGCGAGCGCAGTTAAGGCAGACACTGCTGCCTTGCGGCCCTGTTGGGGCTCGAGGGGGCGAGAGCACGAGGCGGTTCCGAGCCCAAGGTCTTCACAGGAGCATGAGAGAATCTCAATGCTGCAATGTAGATTGTCTAGAAGCACGCCCCACGGCCAACGGCCAAATTCAAAAAGGAGTTGTTCCAGAAGCTTCTCTTGTGGGTCATGCGAGAGGACAGCCTTTGGAACAGTCCGTGTTGGGACTACCCCAACTTCACTTTGTGGATGCGCTTCCCCGTGGTTGTGGCATGCGGTTCCCCGAGATTCCCCGAGATTCCCCAAGCGATTCGGAGAAACTGCATTGCCCTTTTACAACTCCAGAAGATGATCAATACAAATCAAGGCTGGAGCCTCTTTGCAAATAGAGCAGCCATGTGATTCTACCAAAAAGTCCGGAACCCCATGACTTTTTTGACTCACCACTCACTCTTGCCTGGCGGTCACCATCCTAAAGGAGGCCGATGCTGCTTTGGTGTCACCTTCGAGCCCGCTGGCGTCCCGCCCTTTTTGTGCGCTCGCGGCAGCACGGGTAGTGTCAGCTTGTTGTTTCGCAGGCTTCACCTGCTGAAGTCAAGGTGAACAAGTCCCTTAAAGACAGCTAACCTCCTGGCTTTCACACGTTTATTAGCACCAAGAGGTATCTGCCAGAGTTCGCACAACAGAGCAAGGAGCTGCTGTCTCGGGACGAACTGCAGGCCAAGTTTTGGCACTGTATGTGTGGAGAGCTCCACTCCCACATCCAAAACACAAAACAGAAGTCTTTCGCACAGCCGGACCGCTGTCAACCACAAGAAACTAAACTTCCCCCTACAATACTCGCAGTATTGCTCAGACCGTCTTCTCAACTTCGGTCGGCATTGGGTTTGCGCCAATGGCGTAAGCCTTCGGGGGAGAGTGCTGCTTGACGTCCATGCCGACCTCTTCCGTGTACTCGTCGATACGCAAGAGCCCTGTCATCTTCAGAGCGAAGAAGGCAATCCCTGAGAGCGTTCCGGCCCAAAGGATGACCATGATGATCAGGATGCACTGCGCACCGATCGCGGTGCCGCCAATGCCGGTCTGGCAAGTAGAGTCCGAATCGCTCACTGGCATGCAGCCAAAGCCTGACCAGCCGTGGTAGTGGTCAACACCCTTACCCCAGTCGAAGAGTCCGGCTGCCAGCACGCCCCAGATGCCGCAGAAGCCGTGCACCGGACTGGCATCGACAGGGTCGTCGATCTTCAGCTTCTGCAGCAGCATGGACGAGGCTTGGTACACCAAGGCACCAATCAGGCCGATGGCAAAGGCGCTGCCGCACTCCACGTTGCCGCATCCGGCGGTGATGGACACCAGGCCTGCCAAAATGCCGTTGCACAGGCCACCCACGTCGTACTTCTTCATGATGGCATAGCGCAGAATGAACACAGTGATGCCGCCGGTGGCCGCGGACAGGGTTGTGTTCATGGCCACTTGCGCAGCCATAGCACCCGTAGCTCCGTCGTGCATTCCGAGCGTGGAGCCCGGGTTGAAGCCGTACCAGCCGAACCACAGCGCAAAGGTACCCAAGACCACGAGGGGCAAGTTGTGGCACTCGAACTCCTCCGGATTCTCGAAGCGGCCCTTGCGTGGGCCGAGCACAATGGTGCCCAATAGAGCACTCACGCCACCCGTCAAGTGCACCACGCCGCTGCCGGCAAAGTCCATGTAGCCTTGCAGCATCTTGCAACAACCACACAACAATGAACCGCAACAGGGCAACAAGGCATCACTTGATGAGCATGCCAACATGCCACAATGTTACAAGCTGCGGACCCGCGGCCTACATCCAGAACGGTGGCCAGCCAGCCACCACCCCAGGACCACGCGACGATGATGGGGTAGATGAAGCTGGCCATGAAGAAGGCATACACCGCGTACGTAGGACTCTTCACACGCTCAGCCACGCCACCGCTCACGATCGTGGCTCCGGCCGTGCAGAATGCCCACTGAAAGAACCAGCTCAACATCTTGCTCTGGCAGCCGTCAGCATCACATGATGCAAGGGGCGTGATGACACCGGTGGTCTCATCGATGGTGTAGAAGCCGATGCCGAAGAACTCGCTCGTTCCGATGAAGCCGTTCGCTGGATCTCCCTGGCTGCCGTAAGCGAAGGCCCAGCCAAAGACCCACCAGCCCAGCGTGCCAACCGTCACGTTCACCAAGTTCTTCATGAGGACGTTGGACGCGTTCTTTGCACGGCAGCTGCCCGTCTCCAGCATCGCGAAGCCCGCATGCATAAACATGACAAGGGCACCACACAGGCAGAGCCAAGCAGAGTCCATGGCACCACCCAAGCTGTAGTCCGCGTTCTTCAGCGCCTGCACCTGACAATCGGAATGCCACTGCCTATGTTAGACTTGAACAGCAGAACGGGATCTTTTCACTTCATGGCCTCGGTATTGAAGGTGTCAAGGCTCACATAGCTTGCTGTCTGCAGCCTTCGGGTTTCGACCAAGGAGTCGTATTTCTGCTGCTGTTCCTGGATGGAACTGCTGTGCAACAGAACTCAACATGATCGAGAGAATGAAACATGCTTCAAACTCCACAAGCACATATGAGCCACATGAAAAGCCAAGAACGAGGCACATGGGTGCGTTGCGTGATTTGTTGCCCTGCGTCCTGGATGAGAGCCCGCTGTGCAAGAACTTCTGCTCGGAGCGCTTCCAAGTCTGCGAGGGCATCCTTTTGCCCGACTGCCAGAGGAGCCAGCACCTCGGCACAAAATCCCCCAGCAGCCCTAACGGTTGCCATCAGCAAGCTGCGCACACCGGTTCCGAGGTCAGCACCAACAGGCCCGCGGCTACGCGTGCCATCTTGGAATCTCACAACAGCTCACTGCTCCAGTATCCTGTGAGCCTAGTGACAAGCTCGTTGGAGGTCTGCCTGAGGTCTGCCCTCAAAACTCTTCGGGTTGTCCCCATCCCTCTTGTATGTCCGCGCTGTCCCGGGGCCCTTTTTGTGCGCTCGCGGCAGCACGGGTAGTGTCAGCTTGTTGTTTCGCAGGCTTCACCTGCTGAAGTCAAGGTGAACAAGTCCCTTAAAGACAGCCAGCCTCCTGGCTTTCACACGTTTATTAGCACCAAGAGGTATCTGCCAGAGTTCGCACAACAGAGCAAGGAGCTGCTGTCTCGGGACGAACTGCAGGCCAAGTTTTGGCACTGTATGTGTGGAGAGCTCCACTCCCACATCCAAAACACAAAACAGAAGTCTTTCGCACAGCCGGACCGCTGTCAACCACAAGAAACTAAACTTCCCCCTACAATACTCGCAGTATTGCTCAGACCGTCTTCTCAACTTCGGTCGGCATTGGGTTTGCGCCAATGGCGTAAGCCTTCGGGGGAGAGTGCTGCTTGACGTCCATGCCGACCTCTTCCGTGTACTCGTCGATACGCAAGAGCCCTGTCATCTTCAGAGCGAAGAAGGCAATCCCTGAGAGCGTTCCGGCCCAAAGGATGACCATGATGATCAGGATGCACTGCGCACCGATCGCGGTGCCGCCAATGCCGGTCTGGCAAGTAGAGTCCGAATCGCTCACTGGCATGCAGCCAAAGCCTGACCAGCCGTGGTAGTGGTCAACACCCTTACCCCAGTCGAAGAGTCCGGCTGCCAGCACGCCCCAGATGCCGCAGAAGCCGTGCACCGGACTGGCATCGACAGGGTCGTCGATCTTCAGCTTCTGCAGCAGCATGGACGAGGCTTGGTACACCAAGGCACCAATCAGGCCGATGGCAAAGGCGCTGCCGCACTCCACGTTGCCGCATCCGGCGGTGATGGACACCAGGCCTGCCAAAATGCCGTTGCACAGGCCACCCACGTCGTACTTCTTCATGATGGCATAGCGCAGAATGAACACAGTGATGCCGCCGGTGGCCGCGGACAGGGTTGTGTTCATGGCCACTTGCGCAGCCATAGCACCCGTAGCTCCGTCGTGCATTCCGAGCGTGGAGCCCGGGTTGAAGCCGTACCAGCCGAACCACAGCGCAAAGGTACCCAAGACCACGAGGGGCAAGTTGTGGCACTCGAACTCCTCCGGATTCTCGAAGCGGCCCTTGCGTGGGCCGAGCACAATGGTGCCCAATAGAGCACTCACGCCACCCGTCAAGTGCACCACGCCGCTGCCGGCAAAGTCCATGTAGCCTTGCAGCATCTTGCAACAACCACACAGCAATGAACCGCAACAGGGCAACAAGGCATCACTTGATGAGCATGCCAACATGTTACAATGTTACAAGCTGCGGACCCGCGGCCTACATCCAGAACGGTGGCCAGCCAGCCACCGCCCCAGGACCATGCGACGATGATGGGGTAGATGAAGCTGGCCATGAAGAAGGCATACACCGCGTACGTAGGACTCTTCACACGCTCAGCCACGCCACCGCTCACGATCGTGGCTCCGGCCGTGCAAAATGCCCACTGAAAGAACCAGCTCAACATCTTGCTCTGGCAGCCGTCAGCATCACATGATGCAAGGGGCGTGATGACACCGGTGGTCTCATCGATGGTGTAGAAGCCGATGCCGAAGAACTCGCTCGTTCCGATGAAGCCGTTCGCTGGATCTCCCTGGCTGCCGTAAGCGAAGGCCCAGCCAAAGACCCACCAGCCCAGCGTGCCAACCGTCACGTTCACCAAGTTCTTCATGAGGACGTTGGACGCGTTCTTTGCACGGCAGCTGCCCGTCTCCAGCATCGCGAAGCCCGCATGCATAAACATGACAAGGGCACCACACAGGCAGAGCCAAGCAGAGTCCATGGCACCACCCAAGCTGTAGTCCGCGTTCTTCAGCGCCTGCACCTGACAATCGGAATGCCACTGCCTATGTTAGACTTGAACAGCAGAACGGGATCTTTTCACTTCATGGCCTCGGTATTGAAGGTGTCAAGGCTCACATAGCTTGCTGTCTGCAGCCTTCGGGTTTCGACCAAGGAGTCGTATTTCTGCTGCTGTTCCTGGATGGAACTGCTGTGCAACAGAACTCAACATGATCGAGAGAATGAAACATGCTTCAAACTCCAGAGCCACATGAAAAGCCAAGAACGAGGCACATGGGTGCGTTGCGTGATTTGTTGCCCTGCGTCCTGGATGAGAGCCCGCTGTGCAAGAACTTCTGCTCGGAGCGCTTCCAAGTCTGCGAGGGCATCCTTTTGCCCGACTGCCAGAGGAGCCAGCACCTCGGCACAAAATCCCCCAGCAGCCCTAACGGTTGCCATCAGCAAGCTGCGCACACCGGTTCCGAGGTCAGCACCAACAGGCCCGCGGCTACGCGTGCCATCTTGGAATCTCACAACAGCTCCCCTCACTACACCTGGAAAATGACTGCCGCGAACCTCATTCAACACGAGTTATTGCCCAATTCCGATTGGCAAATATGGCCGAATTTAATCTCTAAGTCTTTCGCGCCGATGCAAACTGGGCGACCCAGCTTGCCGAGTGGCAGGCAAGCTGGAAAGTCGCTGGAAAGTCGAAAATCTTCTGGGTCGTGGCTATGAGATGGTCAACCAGAATTGAAGTATATAAATTCGATTTTGACATTGCTAACAATCCACATCCTTATCACGTACTTCTAGTGCCTTGTAACTTGTAGTTTGGTGCAAGCACAGCCCGTTCGCTCTCAAGCAAATATCGAAAATGTCTGATTTGAGCCTTTTGTTTCGACGCGGGCTGCTCACTTGTGGGCGGCCACTCACTTACTCAGTCACTTGCCGCGACAAACAGCACGAAGCAGCAAAAAAAGGGTCAGCTCGCAAGCCGCTCTCAGCAGCTGCAATCTTCCCGAACATGCCTTCAACAGCGCCTCCACTCTAGGAGGCCCAAGCGCAAAGCGGCAACACTGCATTTTGTCAAAAAATGGCAGCGCCACTGCCTCGGCAGCCGAAATACACCAACGGTACACTGCTTACCATAGGCACACTGCAGGCTCATGTTGTTTTTGTTTACGGGTTGCGGCGGGCAAGAGGGCAGTCTGCTGCAAGGCCTAGCAATGGGCACCAAGGCATATTGCCTTGTGTCTTTTTTCCCGAGGCGCGCAGTTGTGCGAACATTCAAGGCATATTGCCTTGGCACCCCCTCATGCACGAAAGCTGCAAAAACACAGGCGGGATGCAAAGGAACCGCCCAAAAGGCGAAGAAAGGGCGAGGCATCTTGCAAAAAGAAGACGCGGCGAAGCCTGGCATGCATGTGCGAATATGCAGCTTTTCCGGGGTGGGGGAGGGGGGAGGAGGGCTCGGAGAGGCCAGGGGAGTCGGAGAGTGGGGTTTTGGGGCACTCACAGTTTTGTAACTAAATATTGCATTCATGCATTTCTTTGAAGGTCGAGTCGGAGCGGAAATTCAGCTTGAACACCTGAATTTCGGATGTCTTGGAGCTGTAACGGAAGCTGAAAAGGAGCTGTAACGGAGGTGCAACGGAGCGGTAACGGGGCGCTCAGGGAAGCTGTGACGGAGTTGTAACGGAAGTGCAACGGAGCTGTAACGGAGCTGTAGCAAATGCTGTAACGGAGCTGTAACGGAGGGCCCACGGTGGGTCGCAAACCCCATAGTAAATGATGGTAGAGCCCACCCCCAAGCGAATTCACTTTGTGTGTTACCAGCGTGCGAACGGTCAGAGCATCCATGTCCGCACCATCATACTGTCCGCGTCACCAGTGCACGCGAATGGCCAAAGCATCCATGTCCGCACGCACTGCTTGCAACGTCCATGTTTGGGTTTGGGCTTAGGGTCCGGGTTTCCAGGATTTTGGGCTTGCACTGTTGTGAGTTGGGCTTGGGTTTAGGGGGTTAAGGATTTTTGGGCTTGCACTGTTCTGAGTTTGGGCTTGGGTTTTGGGTTTCGGGTTCAAGGATTTTGGGCTTGCACTGTTGTGAGTTTGGCCAGGTGCCTGCTGGGCCTATAGAGTTTAAGTCTGAAACCTTCTTCTCAAACGAAGTGCTGCTGCAACGAACAGCATGACATATTCTTCGGGTTGACGAGTTCATCTTGACGAGTCCAACGGCGTCCGTCCCACTGGGCGGGGGGGGTGGGGGAATCGTAGCGGGTTTCATAGTAATCGTAGTAGTAGTAGTAGTAGTAGTAGTAGTAATAATAAAAGTAATAGTAATAGTAATCGTAATAGTAATAGTCATAGTCAGAGTAATAGTAATAGTAATACTAATAGTATTAGTAATAGTAATAGTAATAGTAATAATAATAATAGTAATAGTAATAGTAATAGTAATAGTAATAGTAATAATAATAGTAATAGTAATAGTCATCGCAATAGTCATAGTCATAGTAATAGTAATAATAACAGTCGCAATGTCATAGTAATAGTAATAGTAATAGTAATTGTAATAGTAATAGTAATAATAGTAATAGTAATAGTAATAGTAATAGTAAGTAATAGTAATAGTAACAGTAATAATAGTAGTAATAGTAGTAGTAGTAGTAGTAGTAGTAGTAGTAGTAATGGTAGTAGTAGTAATGATACTAGTAGTAATAGTAGTAGTAGTAGTAGTAGTAGTAGTAGTAGTAGTAGTAGTAGTAGTAGTAGTAACAATCGTAATAGTAGTAATAGTCGTCCTCGCAATAATAGTCGTAATAGTGATAGTAATTGTAGTAGTAGTAGATGAAGTAGTAGTAGTAGTAGTAATTGTTGTTGTAGTACTAGTACAGTAATAGTAGTAGTAGTAGTAGTAGTAGTAGTAGTAGTAGTAGTAGTAGTAGTAGTAGTAGTAGTAGTAGTAGTAGTAGTAGTAGTAGTAGTAGTACTTGCTGGGTCTCAGCGGCTTGCAAGAAACTAAGTTTTTAGTTTTTTTGCACTACATATATGAGTAAGTTATTAAATATATATCAATGCAAGAATGGATTGCCTGGAGTGGCCTGGCACGCCTTTTTGTTCCTCAGTCACGCATTCCGATCTTGAACTCCACCCGCTCGAAATGGTCCTGGCCAATCCAAGAAGCTGGCACAGTCAGGGTTAGCTGCAGCACGACGCAAAACTCAATCAGGCTCATCCTTCTTTCTGCTTTGCACAGACCCGGACTCGGACTCGGTCACCCCTGGTCGTAAAGAACCCCAAGCTTCATGAGGAGCTTGTCCAGATTCCAGGACTTGCCGCTCTCAGCAGAATCGCTGTCCGAGCTCAGGCTCGGGCTCGGACACAAATTAATTGTTCAAGCGTTTGGGCCAAAGGGGGGAAGGGGAGTGAGAGGGGCCTAAACCACAACTAAACCCTCAGCGCAAGAGCGCACCTTTTGCATGGTTGGTGCAGATCCGACCCCACCACCCGTTGGTGATAGGATGCAGCGCCGAACGGACATATGCCCCGGCGTGAAATCACAGCGAGTGAGACACATGGGTGAATCGTCATTTACATGATGCCTGACCGGACGTACCGGACTACTAGGCAGAGCGAAGCACTCAAGGTGCAGCATATGAAGATAGGGACATTCAGAAAGTGCCTCACCGGACATACCGGACTACTAGGCGAACCCGGCGTGGAGCAGCAGAAATTGTGGCCTAACTGGACGAACCAGACTACTGGGCCGATAAGAAGCATGGTGCCTCACCGGACATACCGGACTACTAGGCGAAGAAGTTGCATAGCCAGCGGAGAAAGGCCTAACCGGACGAACCGGACTACTGGGCCACACGATCCTTTAGCAAGCGTCGGCAGCCCAAGTGGGCGCGGTGCACAAAAAAGGGACAGGGAGGGCGGGTACCAAAACAGTCGGCCTTCAAGCCATGCCACGGCGGGTGGCGATCATCTGAAGGCCCACGGCCCAACAGAAAAGGATCTCAAAGCATGTTCCCCAAATGGTGTAAGCGGTCCAAAACGCATTTTCTCAAGTTTTGTTTTTCCCCCAAAGAACTAAGCCCCACCCACCCGCCCAGGCCAAACTTCAAGAACAAACGATTTGGGAAACCCAAAAGGTTTGTTCAGGCGTTTGGGCCAAAGGGGGGAAGGGGAGTGAGAGGGGCCTAAACCACAACTAAACCCTCAGCGCAAGAGCGCACCTTTTGCATGGTTGGTGCAGATCCGACCCCACCACCCGTTGGTGATAGGATGCAGCGCCGAACGGACATATGCCCCACCGAAGGCGTTTGGCGCGCATCACCATGGAGTCTTCTCGGCCAGCTTCTGTTTCTTCGAAGCCTTCTCCCGAATTGGGTTCCGTCCTCTCAAGGCCACCTTCGATGCTTCGTACTCATCGTAGCAAGCCATCAATTCCTCAAACAAATCCAGCTTCAGATCGGAAAAGGAAACCGGCCTCCTCAACGACATGTCGAATTTCGAGAAGTCACCATTTGTCAAATCGTCGGCCTCCGTGTTCTCTTCCCGTGGCCTCCACTGCAGCTTCACACGCAGATTGGAATGAAGGAGTGTCGCAGACATTTGCATCAGCAGCCCCATGAGCGGCCACTTCGTAGATGACCCTTTTGCTTCGGCCTGAGGGTTCGACCGATTGTCTGTTCCACCATAGATCGTTGCCAACATGACATTGCGACATCCAGCAGCCTGAAGGTGACCAAATGCAAACAAGGCCAGATAAGAAGCCAGCAACTCGGCGCTGGCTGATGCCCATTCGCTTGCTCCATCCTCCTTAAACAACCAAGGCGCCATTGTCGGTGTGACTTCAACAGAAAACCAGTCTGCTTTGGCCGGCACGTTCCCTTTGGCAAGGGACCAACCGCCCAAGACGACACGTCCACGCTCACACTTCGCATCGGTTCGAAAAGACTGGGTCACAAAGGGGGCCTGCCGCAAAGCGGGCACCAAGTGGTGTGTCAGCAAAAGATTCTTCCGGATGTAGATGAGCGAGAGATAAACCATCGTGGGAACACGTGCTGTTGTTCCCCTTGCCAGTACTGCACACCAAGAATGCAGCGGAGCCAAGAAAGGTTTTAGCCACAATAGCAATCTACCAACAAAAGTCATCCTGCCAGTGAACTCTACCATGGCACGACCCACTACCATCCAACTCGCAGCCTCAAGATCGTTGATCCAGCCCACTATCCACTTCGTGCGTTTGGATGAGAGCCCTGCAGACCATTGATCACATGCGATATGATATCCCACGAAATCAACCTTGATCCCACCTTTGAATTTGTGGTAGGCAAAAGGTGTGCCGATTGCCTCGTACGCCGCCAGGGCCATCCAAAGCACAAGGAATTTTGGGTCTCCAGCGGTCACGAGGTGTAAATCATCCACGTAGACCACCTCCATATGCCAGAGCGTGGTCAAGATGCGTAGCACCCACCTCCCAATGCATCCGAACAGCCGGCTCCACCAGTAGGCGGCGGAGCTGATGCCAAATGTGCCGACAGTATTGAGCCATACGGTACGCGATGTCGAACTGGAACGGCACCCCATTTTAGGCCAATCCTTTCGCCTGACCTTCACCTGGCGATGAGCTTGGGATATGTCGGCAGAGATAGCGAACACTGCTTCGCCCGAGTCGCGTGCAAGGGAAACCATCTCTAACACCTCATCAGGTCCTGGTGTCTCCAATTTGTCCAAGATGCGTATCCGATTGTTCAAGTTGACGCCGTGAGTTCCGTCGTGCAGCGGTCTGATGTCACCATTGGGTTTCTCCACTGCACCCATGGCGGCTACCAAAAGCTGCCCCGGACCATACTCCTGAGCCACTGCTCCCTCCGTAGTCGGCAGCATGCGGCCTTTCTGCTCATCAGCCCGAAAATGCTCCTCAAGTTGCTCAGAGGACAATTCTGCTGACGTGTAGTTGTCCATGATCGCTTGAAAAGGTGATGCATCCAGTTTTCGGAACTTTTCACGACGGGCAAAAACCTGCGGCGTACGGGGCAGCGGCTCCTCGTCACCCAATGGCACGCCTTCTGCAAAGCACTCCGTTCCTTGAGTCAGAATCTCCCAGTCAGGGTCTCCCAAGATCCGCAGAGATTGCGCTAGCATGTACAACAAGAAAGGCTGGCGGTCAGGAACCCGAAGCGCCAGGGCCGGATCGGGCAGTGTTCCCGCCAGCTCACCACGTAGTCTGTCCAGGGCGGATTGTGTGAAGGGACTCGATTCCAACCTTCCGGCAGCCAAGAGGAAAGCAGACTTCCGAATGTCAGGGAGTTCAGCCAAAACGAAGTTACGCAAGATCCTTTGCATCCGTTCAGCATGCAAGCTCTCCTCCCATGAATTCAGCTGTCCCCTTTGGCCCGGTGGCCAACGGCCCGGGGAGCATAGTCCGAAGCCATCAACGAAGACTCGCTTGCCTGTATCATGACGACAGATCAAAGGTTGCCCAAATGCCCGGCTTGTACGCGGATCAAAAGGAGGTTCAATGTCTGCAGTCTCTTCCGGAAGCTCATCCCCCGAATCCACTGTGATCACTTCCTGACTGGCTTTTGTCGAGGGGTTCGCCACGGCTGCCCCAGACGCCTTTTGTACCATGACCGATGCAGGAGCGTGTTCCCCCATGCGTGCGCGGTCTGCATCGGGCAAGACGAAGCCCAGCGCAGCCAGCAAGGCAACTTGCTCAGGTGAAAGAAGGTGTAGGTGGCGAACCGTAAACCCTACGAGGACGATGCGGCAGCCGTGCCAGGGTTCCGTGGCATGAAGATATTTGTGGGCGTCCAGCAAACAGGGTCCAGCGGCCACGTCCAACAAGCAACCAGGTCGGGCCTGGCCGGCCACTGTGCGATAGACATCGCCCTCGGAATCTTCCCGCCAAACTTGCCCAGCAGTAAACTTGGAAAGTGGCATAAGCAAATTGGGAAATGGAGCATTGTGCACGTCCTTGTGAGGTGCCGTCAGTGTGTTAGTGAAAACAACCAGCGTAGAGAAGCATTGTCCTGGAAAGGCGCCTCGAAGAGCTGCGGTCAGAACCTTGATGGAACATGGGAAAGAATGGCATGAGGAGCGCAGTCCCACGAAACCGCCTCGGGCATAGGCCCCGGCGAAGAAAGCGCCTTCACGTTGATGCCCAGCAGCCTTGTGAGAAGCTTCCCGGGGCAGGAGTTCAGCAAGAGGCTGCAAGTCGTCGGGTGCGAGGGCATCCATCCGATGAAGGAGAGACTGGGCCAAGGTCTCAGCATCGGCCGGTGCTTCAGGAAGATCGGTCTGTTTCTGTGAAGATGTTATGCAATCAACAAGATGCGAACAAAGTAGAGGTGGGTAACATTCAGATCCAGCGGTGCGCCACGTGCCTGAGGAAACGTCCCAACCCATCATTGATTCATGCCAATCGTGGTTGCACCAAGTCAAAGGACCAGTGTAGCCCCCATCAGCATCAAAGGTGGGCCAGCCATTGGACCACTGTTCCGCCAGTGGAAGATTGGACAAGAAGCGAGTTGGTTTGGGATGCAAGGCTCCAAAGGCGCATTGATGAACCGCCCAAGTAAAACCGTCGAGCGATCGGATTTCAGCAAGTTGCCAAATACTTGCCGGGACATCCCCAGTCTCGGTGACACCCAAGTCCTCGGGATGTTCCCAGATGTAAAATCTGTTCGCTGCACATTGATATCCGATCGCCTCCAAACATTGTTTGACAAAGTAGTTGGCAATCTTGACTAGAGCTGCATTCGATTCGGAAAGCCAAGGAAAACCCCATGGATGCATGCAATTGCGAAGAGGAACTGGTCCGGATCCGCTCCCGACAGATCGGTGTCGGGCACGAGAGTACGTGCCGCAAGGCGGGCTGCAGATCAAGATGTCCCATTGTCCCGCACGGAGCTCCGAGAAGATATTCTCCCAGAGTGAGGACTGTGATAAATCATCATTAGGCGAACGCTTCACGTCAACCTCACGTAGAATTAATTCAAAGGCGTGCGCATCACACCAGCGTTCAAGGAAGTACCTCAAATCGCCATCGCGCGGAAGACCAGCGAACAAGTACAGCACGTTGAGCTGTGGGAGTCAGGTGTCGGTCTGCTTCCCCGACTTCGCGAAATGCTCTTGCCAGTGCTTCCAGGTTGGGTGATCACCGAAACAACTCCGAACTTGGCAGCAGTGAACCATGCCACATGATCCGTCGCAACCAGAAGTTGAGTATGCAAAGCAAATGAGCCTGCCGTCCGGTGTTCGGCTGGCCAGCTCCCCCTTTCCTTTGCCCTTCCGCTCCTTTCCTTTGTCTCCACCTCCCTTACCTTTCTTATCCTTGCCTTTCGGGGGTTTGCCACCTCCTTTCTGCCACTTCCATGGCTGCTCTCCACCAAAGTCGGGATAAGCGTTTTGACGCTTCCAACCATCGCCCTTCCAGCCATCCCCTTTGATCCGATGTCCTCCCAGAGCGATGGGCGCCGTAAAGAATTGCTCTTTCAGCTGTGGATCATCGCACACCTCCTTGAGCGTAACTCGTAGCTCTCTGGATTCTCGAACTGCACGCTTGATGGCTTCTTTGCGTAATTCGTACTCATACGTCAGCATGACGGTCCAGGGTGGTCGAAGCGTCATTTGATCCTGCTTGCCGGATCCCTTGCTGCCTGTGGGGATTTGCATGCGATAGACTTTCTCCCCCAGCAGATAGTTCGCGTAGTCCAACCAGATTGTCGGATTCATGCCTGTGAAGAGCACCTTGTTGCGATACTTTGAAGCCAGATAACAGAAAGCCGTCCCCTCAACACGCAGCACCGCACGAAGCTCCTCAGTGTTCTGAGGCATCACCCCCTTAGCCCGTTGCTTGACGATCCGCACATGACCCCCAGTGTCCACTGAAGTTTGTAACCCCATGGTCTTCACTTGCTTCCGGCTTGTAACTTCTGAAAGGCTCGATGCTGACAACTCCCCATTCTCGATCTCCTCCATCTTCGTGGAAACATAGTCGTCCGAAGGCTCAAAGCTCTCCTCCACTTTACCATATGTTGCCTCAAAAGATGCACGCATGGCTTGACGTTCTGTCTGCGTAACCGGTCTCGTGATCCCAAGAACTTTGGCCTCTGCACGTAGCTCAGATTCCTTCGAACTGTACTCCTTGCACGACTCCCATGCTGAAACCACTGATGCAACAGCCGCACGTGTCACTTGATCTGCAGGTTCCAGGGTATGATCTGTTTTTAGGGCCTCCCGCACCCCGGTCCGTGAATCCGCATATGCTGCAAACCTCTTCACATTCTTGAAATCACTCCCCAATTTGTACTGCAGTGCGAGGGGCACTCCACACTCCTGGAGGATATGAAGCAGATCAGACGTGAGGTTCTTGTCCAGGTAGTCCAGCGCATCATCGTTCGATACGCCGGCCGGCAGCGTGAGTGCAGCCGGCGGGCCGGGCGGTGGCCCCGCCATTGCAATGCGATCCGATTGCACCACCTTACAGATGCATCAATCCTGACCAAGCGTTTAGGACGCAAATCAGGAATACTAAGAACCAAAAACGAATTAGAAGAAATCAACCACCTCGCACAAACAAAGAATCTTCCACCGCTTGATCCTGAAAGGATCCGATCATGACCAACAAGCTCACTAGTGCAGCACCTACCAGTTCGTGAAGATCCTACGGCCATTTCCACCATGGCCCAACCGGTGCGTCACAACCCGCACAACTGAGATTCACCTGCCACCTCCACCGTGGCCCTTGAGTGCAATTCGCGACTCTTCTGTTGAAACACGCAAGGAGTGCCTGCACCTACCAAAGCAAAATTCCCAGCACCCCCCAAGCAAACAAAGCGAAGACCACCCTCGAATCAATCACCTTATCACTCGGGATCTTCACCGGCTGCTCCCAGAGGCTCTTCCTCAGTAAACTCTGAACCACTGCTGGAAGAGTCAGGGCACGCATCCATCTTTGGCCGGCAGAGTTTGCAAACTGCGTCGGCGATCCCCTCCTTCAAGACGAAAACGGGAGTCGTCTCAGCACATCGCTCCTGCCGCACCGCGCAGCTCTTGCTCAAGTGCAATCGACGAAATCCCCGGCGTGAAATTGTAATGAAGTATGGTGCCTCCGGCATGTCATCGACTTCCACAGCCGAATACGGTCCAGGAAGTGTTGCATCCATGGAACCAGCTGAAGCGACCACGCGGTCAGGCCCCACCTTCATACAAGGAAATTTCCCATTCAAAGACCACCATTGCTTCTCATCATCCCAAAGCAAAACCTCATGTCCCAGAACCACGGCAGCGCCATTTATGCCATTATCGTCAGCAAAGGCCTTGATAGAATGAAGCAGCTCCTCTTCCATGTATCCACCGTCTGCGTTTCCCAGCAAAAGGCATTTCGAAACATGATTTTGAATCGCCTGTACCACCTGCCGACTAGTCAGAATGTAATCCTGTGATCCATGCTGCGCATACGCCCAACGCCCCAAGAAATCCCGGCGGTCCTTCTCAACTCCCAGGGCCGCTGCCAGACTTGGTAGAGTGTGTCGCGCGCTATGTCCCGACCAAAACATCACGAGCTGATCGGGGACCAAACGCGTCCTGTTCAAGCCCCAAGTATTCCCACTGCCTCGGACCGGTGCCATGAGCGACTTGAGCAGCCGTCTGCACTGAATAGCCAGCCCTTCGCCATCCATGTAAACACGACTGCCATGATCCCAATCTTCCGTGAAAATTGGACAAAGAAAATCCCTCGACCACCTCAGCTCCGCCGATGACGCCAATCGGGATCCTTCGAGCATCCAATCAAATCCTGACAGTCCTGCCACTCTCGAGATGAACCCATGCAATTCTCCAACCTTTCGCCCTGGCCCACTGGTCTTGGTCTTCTTCATGACAAATCGCATTCCAATCTGTGAAAACTTCAGGGTATCTGGATCAATGTTCTGAACATCGTCTGCTCTCAGCGTCCCCCAGATCATCAGAAGCAAAACGAATGCTGTCCACCGTAAGCCAATCGGTCCAGTGCTCTTACAAACAGCCATCTCCAGCGAAAGCATGATTGCAACAGTGAACATAGGGGCAGGTCGCACTGCTGGCGCCTGAGCCTCCAGCTCCATGGTCCATGACCGGAAAGTCTCCAGCACCATAGGGTCTTGACTGAGACGGTCCTCGGGGGGGACCTGCCCCAGTGTCTCAAGCAATGAAACTGAAGACAACAGACAGTTCGGAACAGTTTTCCCCATGACCTTGCATTCTGCCCGCTCTTCCATGTATCTGAAAAGATGCGCAGGTGACCCAGGCCAATAGAGGTTGAAGCTGACTTCCAACCATCGTCTAAAACGACCCCAGGCCTGTGCTCGATTGCGCAGGGTCTTTGCTCGACGGCTGCCAAACATGCGAATCCATGCAGATTTCGTTTCGCCAAGTGCTTCCATACGTGCCACACAAGGAAGATTAGCATCGCGCATGTACATCACAAGCTGCAACGCCCAACGTTCCCTCTGCTTCGACTCGAGCTCTTCCCTCGAGGTTCCTCTCGCCTTGGAGAGCTTCACCGCTTTGATAACTTGCCCGAGCGAAATTCTAGCAGATCCAGCCACCAATTGCTCGAAGATATCAGAAGATGAGACCTCTGGACGTGGTATCTTCAACGGTCTTGACACGATTGATTCAGCTACATCTCGTGCACGATTAGTACCGCGCGCATTCTGCCTCAATGTCCATTGCCAAAGACTGATGCCAACCCGATCCACCTCAGCCTCAGTGAGTTGATCCTTAAGGAACTCTTTGACCAAGATGATTGCCTCTGCCTCATCATCATATGAGCAAGAAAATTGCGCAGCGCTATGGTAAACCTCTTGCACAGCTTTGCAAAGTAGCGGATCATGCTTCCAGAGACTCTCCCATCCAGGCTTCGGTCCAGGGCCCGTCTCTGACATCACTTCTCATGCTCTGCAGCAATGTAATTTGAAACCATGGCGACTCTACCTGCACAAACCTAACGGGAGACCCTCACTACCAAAACAGTCGGCCTTCAAGCCATGCCACGGCGGGTGGCGATCATCTGAAGGCCCACGGCCCAACAGAAAAGGATCTCAAAGCATGTTCCCCAAATGGTGTAAGCGGTCCAAAACGCATTTTCTCAAGTTTTGTTTTTCCCCCAAAGAACTAAGCCCCACCCACCCGCCCAGGCCAAACTTCAAGAACAAACGATTTGGGAAACCCAAAAGGTAAGTCAATTTCGGATGCCGAGGTTTCTCAGGCATCCCTCCCTTGTAAACTCGAAGCTTACAGCCATTCAAGGCCCCATGCGCGAACAACACATCCGAGTGTGCCGGATATTTGTTGGCAAAACCCTCGGTCAGATACAAGTGAAAGCGCAGGTCCAAGGCTCGTTGGAAGGCGTAACAATTGCCCTTCTGCATTGCGGTCTGAATGAAATCTCGGTCGCAAACTCGGACTCCTCTCAGTCTGGCTTCCAGTGCCTCCCGCAAGTAAAGCCCTTCGGATATGTTGGCGACCATTAAAACGTCGGCCGACGCAAAGTCCATGGTCAAGCGGAAGCGGGCACTCACATTCTCGGGCCAGTGGGCACCGTGCGCCATCTTGACGCAGACAGTGTTGCCAAGCTTGGGGGCTTTGGCCCGGGCAGCACTCGGAGCATTGGCGGCCATGGGGCCAACCACGGACCCTGTTGCATGGACATATGCAGGTACACAGCCTGCCTTCGTGCCAAAATCAACCTTTTTTCGCTTCTTGACGAGCTCGATCTGCGAAGCCACTGCGGCATTGATGACCTCATCTTCCATCGTATCATCCTTGTCCGCCACGGACTCTGGCGTCACCACCTCCTGGTTCTGCTCGGGCGCCTTTCTTTTGCTGGACGAGGACGCAGAGCTGGAGGCAGGTTGTTCCACGCCTCCGGCTAGAGTCAGGATTATTCATGGCCATAGGTCAGAAACAAAAGCAACATCATAGCTCGGAAAACTATAACTATAAATAAACCTACTTCGGTGCGGCTGAAATGCCCACTCTGAATTCGGCGGCTTCCGCAACCATCTCGGACATCGTGTCTTGGGACCCTTTTGCGCCCGTTCGCACAGCACTGTCGAGTGACTCCTTGTGTTGCCTCATCTGGGCTGCTATGGATTTGCTCGAGCTCGCCCGCAATGGTGCCAACCTCGGTTTGTCATTGCGCTCTTGCACGGACAGGAGGTCTCGGGCAGGTAACTGCTTCTCGCCGTAAAACTCAGCGTAAGCCTTTTGGGCTCGCAGGCCAAAGTAGCTTGCCTGCCAACGCACCTGCCGATCTCGACTCTCGGTCGCGGACGTAGTGAGGGACTCGGGCTGGAAGACACTGGCTCGGCCACTCATGTTCTGAACGTTGAGTTTGACACTATCCTCGAGCCGGAAAATGTTGAGGTGATGAGCCCTGCTTTTCTGCTCGGTCAAGCTGATCTCGTGCAACCACCGCTCCACATTGCAGGTGGACGTCATGAACACGAGCGAATGCTTGATGAGCTTCACGGCCTCGTACCTGTTTCGGATCTGGCTCTTTCTCAGCTCGGACAGGGTCTTCACCCAGGCCTGCTTGGATGGCTGCTGGCTGGGATTCTTCGCGTGCCACAAGGCTCGAGCAAAGAGACCATGGCCAGGTCCGTGATCCTCCGCCTGTCCCCAGAACTGCTTCCTGAGTGAACAGGCGGCTGGGACTTTAACACGCATAACTCAGTCTCTGCCACTGGCTCTGAACTACAAATCCAAATTATGTAAAAATCAGCTACCAAGGTGCCAGAGCATCTTGCCGTCTAAATTCCACTGCTTTGCGACTCGGCCGATCATCGTTTCTCGCTGCCTCATACTCAGGTCCGCATGCACGTCCAGTGCAGAAAGAGAATTCACATACTCCCACAAGGGAAAGTTCGCTCGGAAGTAGGCGTCCACAAGCTTGTAGACTCTGCGCAGATCTTTGCGGATCTCTGCCTCGGATGTTGTTTGCCAGACACTGAGCACGTGCTCGGGCCTTGCACTCCTGGAGCCACGGGGGCGTCGGCCAAGCACTCGGACGGCACCCAGTTTCTTCAAGGTGTTCATGGCCTCCACTGTCACGGACTTGTCTGCAGTCAGAAGGTTCCCCTCCTTGAACAGGTGCCTCATCTGGTGCATGATCTCGGACGCCTTGCGATGGGACGTGCACGAGCACAAACTTTACTGCTACTCGGACTCGTGCAACCATTTTCGGACGCTCGGCCTGAGTTCCGCACAGGCATGCGTCGTCCTCGGACACGTCACATCGACGAAGAAACCGGTGACAACATCGCGTCGCACACGACGGCTGAACGCACCACTGCCTTGGTGGCACCATCACCTGTCATCCGGCCTAACACGTTCTCTGCCCATGTCACATCCTCGGGATCACCCTCTTCACAGCATCGGGCCAAAAACTCGTACAGCGAGGGCAATGCCTTCAGAATCTTGAACAAGGGCAAAGACGCGGACTCGAACCGTTGCATGGCAAACGAGAAACTCCTCAACGTGCGACAAAACTCGGTCTCGGACTCGGGCGGCTGGCTCGCCTCGAACCACAAACCCAGTTTCCGGGATTTCTCCAGGACTCGGGCGACGGAGTGCTCCCCTGTCACCAATATGTCCAACAAGCCGCACATCTCGGTCAAGCTCGTCCACGTGCTGCGCTGACACGCTCGCATCCTGTGAGCTCGGTCTCGGACGATGAACTTCAACTTGGGTAACTCCGTGGCTGCCAGTGTCTGCAATGCCTGCTGCTCGGACAACCCACCGTCCGCCACGGCCACAGTAAGAATGTCCTGGCTCTCTCGGGCTTTCTCTCGGGCTTTCTCTCGGGCTTTCTCTCGGGCTTTCGCATCTCGGGCATCTAACCCTAAAGCCACTAAACCCTCATTCCTGAATCACTCTGCATCGTTGCACCTCGGGCCGGTCCTTGAGTCTCTGGAAGAGTCTCTCGTCCAAAGCGTCCTCGGGCCCAACGACTCCTCCTTGATCCCTTCGGCCAAGCCGTCTCGTGCAAAAAGACTTCAACGTGGCCATGACGGCTCGTGCAACATTTTCCTCAGCTGTCTTTCGCGCAGACGCCCTGACAAAGGACCAGTGTTGCACAAACGTTCTCCGTGCCGACACGTCTCTGGACCTGGCCCATAGTCTCGGGCAATGCCAATCAAGCAGTCATAGGTGCCGCTGGCCGGCAGCCACTTATTGTGCTTCAGACCTTTACAAATGTTTTTTTTTTTTGCT